GTCTGTAAAATACGATTTTATTTATTTCAGTTATCAACAAACAATATATAAGGTTTATGTGTAACAAAGTCATACCGATTGAATTGACCATCATTTTAAAATGATCTATTTTGTTTTGTTGATTTATACAATGAATATTTGTAAAGATATGTTTTTAAAACAAACAAACAAATAGTCAAAGTTTTTGGTACATTCGAGAATCATTATATATACATATGATACATTTGACCTTATTGTAACTTTATGAGCAAAGATTTCGATATCATAACCCATGTATTCTTCCTTGTCTGATAAAAACAAATACTTAAAACCTGTGGCCTCTTTACTGGTTGCTTTGGTGAGTAATATAATTTTATCACAATATTTTAAATGAGTAGTATAGTTGTATATTTGTCGACAAAACTTGACTATATAGAATGAAAGTTGAAAATGATTTCTTACATTGAATATCGTTCGTTCAAAATCTGTGACTGAAAATATACATTAATTGCAACAATTATTGATGATAATTTTATTTAATAATAATAATAATCCCAGAATTTGTGTAATTTTCCTTTGGGGGAGCCTATTTAAAAGTTTAGTAAAACAAAACTCTTTCGCTTAAGCTTTTCTTTCTTTTTTTTTTGTAATCAAAACACTTAGTGTTTTGTTTTAAACAAACTATCACTTTCTCAATAACGGATATTCAGTAATGAATACAACTAACAGATAACTGTTAACAGCTTCAGAAATATATATATCAGTTCTCATGTTTGAATTCTTTAAATTCAATCGATTATTACCTCATCTATATAAAATAAAAATCGTACCACGTCTGACTATACGAATAATCATAATCGTTGGTACAACTAAATAATTTTATGCTAATGAAATATGCATCTTGATATGTTTATATTACTCTGACAGTATTCGTATGCATTTTTTAAATGTTATTGTTAACTTTCGTAACTACATAACAGTTAAGTGGTGTGATATATGACATTAAAAAAACAAACAAAATACTATGGTTACCAAGAACTGAATTTTTTGTCAACCTTATGTGAATCAAAATTCTTCAATCTTTTTATAATCATTTCACAAAGTTTATTGTTTATTATTTATTTGACCTTCTTTTTGCTGTTCATTTCGATTGAAACTTGAGAAATATAATCCATTTGTACGTTGTGTATAACTTTTTTTAAAAATATTGTTTTCTTGTGTCATAAAGATGGCACCATTTTGAATACTTTTTACCGGTGAACAAAGTCCAAAAATCAATTCTTTATTATAGATATTTTGAAATTGAATTATGTCATTTTAACAATTTGCAAACAAACGCCTTTATTGTTTAATTATAGATACTGTAGTATATATATATATATATATATATATATATATATATATATATATATATATATATATATTAATAGAGTTGAAAAGAGAAATATTGAGAGCCAAGAAAGAACAAAGAAACGTTCTGTGATGATTTATAAATTTTTAAAGTTTCAATTCACCGTCGAACGTAGAATGTCATTCAAGATTCTCAAGTTGAATTGCAATAGTCTAGATCATTCATTAGTATAACTTCATTGAATAAAGATAGTTAAAAAGTGGGCGTGTCTTGATAATATTGCTTTAAATCAATCATCTAAAATATAGTTATTTACCATACTTTCCAAAATCGATTTAGTTCGATTCAACCAGAAACTATTATTTTATAATCATTGACCATTATAATATAAATGCCTACAATTCAAGTAACTTCGAATTTGTAGTGGATTGAAATTTTCATTTGAGAAATAGAAATACGGTTCTCAGTTATACATATAACATTGTTATCAAATCAAATATATATATTGGACAGTTGGAGGTATTTGGAGATAAAAATCTGTCTCATACTAGTTGGCACTCCATAATAAGGCTTGCTTATAATCCTGAATGAATTTTTGTTTTCTGTGGGATTTTAACCTAATTCATCCATTTGTGTAGTGTAGGACTTTCATGGAATAACTGATCTCTTGTATTTTTGAGAAATTAAAATTCGTTAAACAATAACATATACATTTTGTCAAGTTGAAATCATGAGTCAGTTGAAGCTAGACCACCATTGAAAACCTGGAAGCACTGGACGGCCGTTTCGTCCTAGTATGGGACTCCTCAGCAGTGCGCATCCACGACCCCGCACCACCCGGGGCTCGAACCCAGGACCTACTGGCTTCGCGCGCGAGCACTTAACCATTAGACCACTGAGCCGGCATCCAACGGTGTTAATGTCTAACTTCAACCAATCCACGAAGTTGCGCTACCGTACACCATTGTCTTCAGTGAGTTCCTATCTCACAACAGACCTGGTTGAACTCCACTGGTAACGACTTCTCACTAGAACTCCAGAAGTTTTTCCTGAAGTCAGTCACTAGTGAGCAGTTGATTATTGTCAGAATGGGTTTTGTGGAGAGTTTTAGTGCTCGCGCGCGAAGCCAGTAGGTCCTGGGTTCGAGCCCCACGTGGTGCGGGATCGTGGATGCGCACTGCCGAGGAGTCCCATACCAGGACGAAACGGCCGTCCAGTGCTTCCAGGTCTTCAATGGTGGTCTAGCTTCAACTGACTCATGATTTCAACTTGTGAAATTTCTAAAACTCTCCACAAAACCCATTCTGACGATATACATTTTATCTTTTATTTTTTTAATCAAATTCTATCGATCACATTGTAAACGAGAGTCCATTGAGCCTGTGATTACATTGCAGTTTATTTGATAGAATTTAGTCCATATTAAAAGATTAAATAAACAAGATATTAATCAATCACTTGTCAAATGTATATCTATTTTATTTATTTAACTCTTAAACATTTTTTTCAAACTTTAAATTACTTATGATAAATAAGTAGTAAATATCAGTAAATATCTTCAAAATATTAATTTACAAATAAATAATTCCAATGGTTGAGATCATGAGTCAGTTGAAGCTAAACCACCACGGAAAACCCGGAAGCACTGGACGGTTTTCCATGGTGGTCTAGCCTCAACCATTGAAATTACTGTAATATCCACAAAACCCATCTGATAATAAATAGTTCATTTTTTAAAAATTTAAGTTTTTATAAAAAGAAAATAAAAATAAAAACGAAATTTGTAATAGTCATCAGAAAAACAAAATTAAAAAATCAATTTTCCATTATTTTGTTTTAATTCATTAAAATAGAGAAAATTCAAACTCTGCCCAGTATTGATGAAAAAAGAACAACAACAACAACATTGAAATGAACAATATTCAATAGTGTGAAAAAAACGTATAAATTTAAAAGAGAGAAATATTTTTTTGTTTTATTTTAGTTAGTAAAGAAAAATAAGTCGTTGATTAAGTTCTGATTTATTTCAAATAAATAAAATGAAATTCTGCGAAATAAAATAAAAATGTAAAAATGTAAAATTAATTTTAGATTATTTAAATAATTTAAAAAAATCGTAGGTAAAAATGGATAGTGACTATCAGTGGAATCGAGAAAGGAGTTTCGTCCTAGTTGAAACTCGTTAGCTGGATGTACTTGTATCTCAGATTTCCTATTCACTCTGGGACTTGAACCCAAATTGTTTATTTCAAATAAAAACTCTAGGATGAAGGTTCATCCGGTTGACGAGCCCTAATTAGGATGAAATTCATGTTTTGGATTCCTTTGCTAGCCACTATCCATCTTTACTTAGAATGCTTGTGAATTAGGGCATTATCAAGGCAATATGTACAGTGTGAAACATATGCCAATAAGAGACTGATCAATGACAGTTCTAAACATCGATGGGAAGATTCAATTAAACGATACCAAGTGTAATAAAAGAAATTGTCTTGAAATTATACTAATTGTATGTAAGCAACGACGTATGCAAACAGGATTTAAGATATGAAAGTTATTTTTTATTAAAAGTTCTGTTTTTTTTCAAAACATATCTAAAAAAAGTGTTATTCACTCGTCCGTATGCTTAAATGTTATTTCCTACTCACTATACCATTCACAACGTAATTCATTCGAGTGCTAACTTTGAATGAGCGCGAAACAATTTGCTATCAGTTTATGATTCAAGTATAAATTGCCTTAGAATAAGTAAGCATTTGAAATGTTTTTCTATCCAGTCAGTGTTATTTCTTATTTTTAATGGTACTATACCCTTAGTAACGGATTTTTGTTGATCAGTATAGCATAGTTAAGAGCAAATATTTCATGTATGCTTCAAATGATCAAAATCAAACATATGTTTTTTAATGTTTATGATCCTTCAAAGGAGTAGGAAATGTCTAATGGATCCAGTATTGAAATCAGCAATTTTCTATTCGTATACACAATTCTTCACTATGTAATTCTGTTTTTAATTACCAAAATGAAATATTATATTCATTTTTAAAGTCAGACATGACACACATTGTAATTACTGTGAATAATCTTTCAATAATTTTAATATGCGTAAGGAGGAATGAGAATACTTTGTCGTATTGGCCTTCGGTCTGCTGAGCCAAGAATTAAGTTATCAATAAAATTTAGAACTAAATGTCATCATATAAACATTTTACCTGAAGTAGTAGCAAATAAACAAGACATGAATGACAAATAACCTCTATTTGTTTATTTTTTAAAATTGCAAATTCAGTACTAAAGGAAAACTGTAGTTCTGCAGACATTTGATGATATCGTGTAAAAAATCAATCCTCAATTATTCATTTAAAATGTTAGGACTTTTAAGAGTATTGGAAGAAGATCGGTTACTTCAGTAGGCTTCAGTACCGAAATCAATTTGCTAATGTTACTTTTATTATTCTTTGAATACTTCGAACGTTTGGTTTTTTTATATTTTGGAAAATAACTTCCACAATTCCAGTTTTTATTTTTAATAGTTAACTGACTGGAGACAACATAAGTCTCTACCTAATCTTTTTGTCAAAATCATATTTTCATAAATCAACATATAATTACAGGCTAAACGACAAGTTTCTTGTAGCAGTAATAAGTATTACCTGAAATAATATGGAGTTCATACAACCTTGGTACCTGAAATAACATTTAAAATTCCTGGGATAACTTCTGCTTGAAATGTGCCTGAAGGCATGAGCTCTCCGTCCAGCATTGTGATGACTGAATCTTTAGAATACGGTTCTATTCGTAGAGCACAAATTTTTACAATATCCATGTTTGATGTTGATTGTAGGCCTTGACCATTTGACATTGCTCGTCCCAAAGCTAACAAATCAAGTCTAAAATATAATTTTGTAAAAATAAAATAATGATATAAATTTGGCCTAACGCATGCGTTATGAAACCAATACCTTACATGAAAGTTTTGTTATGGTGTTACTTTCCAAATTTTATTTCGAATGCTAATCGACACTTGACTTGTTTAGTATGCCTTATTGGTTTCATGACTTTCTAGGACAATTCTAAATCTATTTATATAAACAAATGTATTTCTAAAGAGTGTTTCACTAAAACAAAACCATTTTCTTGAATTTCCTTATTATATATAGTTACTTAGCTGATGTTAATTTACAAGGTTAACTATATTCACGTTAAATTAGTGTTCATAAACAATTCGGCTGGAGTAAATTTCTCATCGTGAACCAAATATAATAGTGAGTTGCTTTACTGCAAAATAACTAATATCTTATATTGTGAATAATATTATAAAACAGAATTTGCAACATTTTAGGTAATTGCATGATTATTTTACCATTCAAAAATAGAATGAACTAAAACTAATGTCAATATGAAATATATTGTTTCATGGGGCGATTACAAAACAAGGATTTTGTAGAATGTTAAAATTTTTAGTTATTTTATCACTTCAAAATGCCAATCAAACTAAATATAGTATTCGTTTTATTCAATATCAACTATGTGATTACAGTAAAGAATTCTGAGTACTAAATAAACAAGTTTTTGACAAATTTTCATTTTATATGCACTAAATTTGTGGATATTCAAAACGTTTTTAAACCATAATACTCTGTTATTTTCATTTATTCGTAAATGTTTAAAGTAAGTCTTCCTCCTATGATACCTTTTATATTATCGAATACATTCAGTGGGATTCTATGGACTACCATCATTGCGTTCCATCAGTTTCTCAATAATTAGACAAGCTATAGATTTAAAATATGTTATGAAAATGAGTAAATACATGCAGTTAAGAGACTTAATTAATTTATTAACACAAATTTAAAACAAGCAAAATTAGAGCAGTAGATGGATGTAGGAAAACATGAAGGACCAAATGTTCTGGTAGTTTGCATGACTTCTTAGTTATGTAATATTGAAAAAGAAATTTAACTAATGTATTTAACATAAATAATTCGTTATCCCATGCTATTTTACAAGAAATTTCAGATACACTAAGTTACATTTTTGGATCATTAAGATAAACATATAAACTAATTGTTGAAATATAATTTTTAAAACAACAGAAAACAAAATCATAAAAAGTGCACCTCTAATGATACAAATTACGTTTATCCTATTTCAGTTATTATTAAACTCGGTTTTTACATCTTTTTAGTGTCAGGATAGTTTTAAGACATATAGTCCTACATTCATTAACTGACAATTAATATATTCATGATCTCAATCAAAAGATTCAACAATCTCCACAACCCTATACTGATAATTATCATGTGCTCACTAGTAACTAGCTTCGTGAGGTAATTCTCCGGGTTTTGGTGAGAAGCCATGACCAGTGGAGCTAATTCGTGTTAGATAAAGACAGCTATTTACCTCAGACAGTGGAAGATGGTCGCGTAATTTTGTGGTTTGGCTGAAGTTAGACATTAACACCATGGAATGCCGGTTCAGTAGTGTAGAGTTTAAGCGTTTACGAGTAAGATTGAAGATCTTGAGTTCGAATTCCGCGTGCGCAATCGTGGGTGCGCACTGATGAGTGGTCCCATACTAGGAAAAAACGGCCGTTCAGTGTTTGTTCAGGTTTCCAATAGAAGTCAGATATTGATCTATTCATGATCCCAATAAAAATCAATAATCTCCACGACTTTACATTGATAATTAATATATAATTGAAGAGAATACAAATGGTTTTGATTTTTTAATGTTACCTTAGCAATTAAAATTCAAAGTTCAAGAGTTATAGTATACTTTGATGCTAAAACATTTCAGTGTAAACTTCAGTGAGCATTAGAAATGTTTAGAGAAAAATGTTCTTGATAAATATTAATTTGTAAATAATGTTCTATCTAAATTTATAAAAGGTACTAATTGCTTTAAATTCTTGAAATATTTGCTTTTTTTTCACAGAATATTTATAATATTACTGAATTGTCAATTTTAGATATTAGGCAGTATTAATTGATTCGATTTTTAGATCGTATCTTTTTTTAAAACAAAAAAAATAATTAAGGTACAGTTGCAAAAAAACATACAAAAGTATACAGATGATTAAATAGAATTAATTTCAAGATGCACTTTTCATGTAGTACACTATTTAGAATTTTTAAATTATAAAACTGTTCCGGCTATTAAAATTATTTAAGCTTATTTCCAGTATTAAGTTCATAAAGAAATTAAAATAGTATTGTACAAGTATTGGATATGCTTTTTTGATATTCGTATATAATACAGTTTGTATAAATGCATATAATTTAGATTTTATATGGACGTAAACGATGTATATTCATAAGAATCTATTCATAAAACAATTTGTATATACCAACCTTGTTGTGTTTTCATGCAGAATTAATAAAGTTAAATATGGATCACTGATATGAGCATCCGGATACATTACGGTACTAGATGTTATATGAGAGTGATTTGTTACTAATATTGTAACGAAGTTTTTGTCTAAAGTGACCCATTTATCTTGTGATTGGAAATAGGTTGGTTAGTTTCTGGTAGAAATCTATGAAAATTAAAATACAGTGAAAATTTATGATTTATCTTTTTACACTTATTTTTTAATACGAACATAATTTTGAAAATGTGAATTCCGGTTGAAGTAAGATCTAAATTAATGACTTATGGGTTACTATGTTGACAACCTGGCTTACCCGAGTTTAAGATGTTTGTCAGCTCACTGTATCTCCTATTCGTTGTCGCTGAAGAGTTGCTAACATTCAGTGACAATTCTATATTAGTGATACTGAGGTTTAGCAATGTGTTTTCTTATTCAGTAACGATGAATCAATTAGTTTCTTAACCTTGAAACACCTTAGGTAGTTTAGGCAAGTGCTACGAATGTCACCTAGAGAGTTTTGCGTATGATATTGATTACCCACTATAGAATGGTGGGGAAGAAGCAATTATCTGGTCAATCGATGAGACGTTACCGTGGTCTGGAAGAAAGCGAAACAAAACTGGCACCTTTCAGATCATAGAAACTGTTTGATCCGGGTTCTAGAGACAGCTCAGTGATGTGAAACTTTATCGATCATAGCCCATAACAAAGGTCAATGGAGGTTTACATTGGTTTTCCTATATATTCTTCATGAAAAACGAAAGGAACTGAAAGAACTCTTTTGTACTTTATTTTAACTAAACTGTTTCTCCTATTACATACTACTCTCGTTCACTTATTTTTATTGACTTATTTTTTTTATTGAACTCCCTCGTTCTTCTATATCTACGCTATTTCGTTCCTTTATTTGTATGGTGCATAATTATTTCTATGCCTAGCTGTATCAGCATTTTTTGTGTATTAAACAAATAAATAAAGGCTGATAACTCATGGACAATGCTTCTCGGTTTGACTGCTAACGGAATATGAATCGTATTTCATTCATTTATCAGTCAGTCTTTCCTTTTATCTAATTTAATTACTCTCAAAATGAGACACATGTGTTCCATAACTTCTGCTTGGGATATAAAATAATTAATCAATGCCTGTCAAAGAGTAATTCGGAAGCTAACATATGCAACAGAATTTTGGATAACTGACCTTAGGGTTTACACTTCCACTGCGGCATATCAGTGAGAAATATGCATCTGCAACATTCATCAAATAAACACAGTTCTTTTACTAAAGTACAAATTGATCTAAGTGGAGCCATTAGGTGCCAAACATAATCCATAAAACATCTTTAAATTGTGAATTCCATCTTCATTATTTTCCTATATTCCCAGATAGATAGTATTCCCACTCTTAACTACAATAAGGCAACGAAGTAACTTACACAGTTACAAAAAATAAAAAGACACTGCGAATAAATAATGTACTATAATGTAAAAGCACACTTACGACCAGGATTGACACGACTTTTTGATCTGTGTAGGAGATACGTTTAATTTATCTGTAAAATCACTTGAATTTCCACATGCCTATATATAAACAATAAAATTAAATCAATATAAGACCGGGAATGTTATCGTATTGAAAGCTAGATGAATTATAATGGTTACTTTCAGTAGTATCTATACAATCCGATATTCGACATAGGGGACGAACATGCCTGTCCAATTACTGAACTTATGTTGTATGGTCGTGATATAGTGATTACATTATACAATACTTATGAAACATACGATAACAGATTAGATAAATAGAAATATTCATACGTTCTCATCAAATTTTAAGTTAGTATTTGATTTGAATAAAAACAACTAAATAGGTAGTGAAATATGTTAATATATGTGAGTTACTCACTTACAAGTGTTACTCCTCGTGAGGTAGCCCACCAGCATTGTCCTTCGAACTCATTTTTTGCCAATCCTTCCCAGTTGAAATTTATTCTTTTCATATATATCCTCGATTCCCCGCTCAACGTTTACTTTTTTCTGCCCCTTTTTTGCCTTTTAGATTTCAAGTTAGGGCTTGCTTCGTCTTGCAGCTTATTGATTTCCACAATGTTTGTCCTATCTACCCCCAGAAACGTTCCCCAATTTTCTCTTCACCAGTAAGCTGATTTGTTTGTTCTCACAGCAGGCTGTTGCTGATGATATCCAGCCAACGGATATTGAGTATCTTTCGTACACAGTCATATATAAATACTTATTGTCCGATTGTAGAAATGCTGTCCATGCTTTATCGATCCTTGCCTTCACATCTTCACCAGATCCTTCTTGTTCATCGATGATGCTGTCCAGGTACGTGAATGTTTTCATCTCTTCCAAGGCCTCTCTATCAAGCATGGTTGGGTTGGTGTTCTCTGTGTCGTATTTGAGGATCTTTCTTTTCTTGTGTGGGTTGAGGGCTACTGATACACAGGCTACTGCTACACTTCTTGTCTTCACTTGCATTTGTTGATGTGTATACGATAGGATGACCAGGTTATTTGGGAAGTCCAAATTGTTCAACTGCATCCAAGCTATCCATTATGTTTCATGCCTCAGATATCGAGGTCTTCATAATCCAGCCAAACATCAAAAGAAAGAGAAAGGGGGACAGTAAGCAGCCTTGTCTGACTTCAATCCTTAATTGAAATGCATCTGTCAACTGTCCTCCATACGTCATTTTACAGTGTAGTCTGTCGTATGAATTCTGTATGATTCTGACGATTTTCTCAGGCACTCCATAGTGTCGAAGAAGGTTCTATAATGTTCACCTATCCACACTGTTAAATGCTTTCTCATAATTAAGGAATTTGATATATAGTGACGAGTCCCATTCAACTGATTGTTCAACGATGATCCCATGTGTCAGGATTTGGTTTGTACAGAATCCAGATTGCTGATCACGAAGTTGGGCGTCTACTGGATCTTCCATCCGGTTCAGCAATACTGTCGAAAACCTTTCTTGGTACTGGAAGTAGTGTGATGCCTCTGTGGTTCTCACATTTGCTCAGGCCTCCTTTCTATGGTATCTTGATGAGGTATCCTTCCTTCCAGTTTATCGGCACTTGTTCCTCTCCCCAAATCTTCCTGAATAGAACGTGGAGCACGTTTTTAGTTACCTCTATGTCTGACTTTAGTGCTTGAGCTGGTATGTTTCCAGGTTCTGCTGTTTTCTCACTCTTGATTTGTCTAATGGCTATACTGATAATTATCATGTGATCATTAGTAATTGACTTCAAGATGGATTTCCTGGAGTTCTAGTGGAAGCCGTGACCGGTGGAATTCAACCGTGTCTGGTGAGAGGTAGTATTCTCTGGAGACATTGGTGAACGGTCGCGTAATTTCGTGGATTGATTGAAGTTAGATATTAACACCGTTGAATACCGGCTCAGTGGTCTAGGGGTTAAGTGTTCATGCGTGAAACCGAAGGTGCTGGGTTTGACCCCCACATTCGGGTCGTGGATGCGTACTGATGATGAGTCTTATACTACGACGAAACGGCCGTCCACTGCTTCTAGGTTTTCAATGGCGGTCTAACATTGATTCATTCATGATATCAGTCTAAACGTATCATATCCTTTAAGTTCGAGCACTAAATATCACCCTAGCTTCTAAACAGGGTGTTAGGATTTATTTTCTGTATTCAATTAACCTTGAATTTGAGCACCTTGAGATAACTGTATTTATATATAGAATAATTTATCATAAAATTTTATCTATTCTTCTGACAGTCATAGCCTCAGTCACTTTATATTCATTAATTAAACTTTCACAAAAAATGTATATTTAAGCAAAGATGGGTAGTGGCTAGCAGTGGAATCTAGGACGTGCGTTTTGTCCTGTTTCGGACTCATCAACTGGATGTAACTGGCGAATTCCAAATAGAACAAACGTGAGTCAAACTGGGTTCCAATGGTAGTCACTATCCATCTTTGCTTAAAAAGTTTGTGACTTAAGTCCATATCGAGGCAGTCCACATAGGTTGCACATACGCCAACAAGAAACTGGTCAATTACAATGCTAAATAACAATGGGAAGATACAAGAAAAAAAACATCAAGTGAAATCAAAAATGTAAATGTATATTCAACTATTCATATTTTCAAGAGTTTATTTACTAACTTATAGTCATTTATGAAAGAACATTTTATCTCTCTATCTTCATTTAATGATTCATTTAAATTAGATTGGTATCGTTTTTTCATTTCGGCTAGTTGTTGCTACATGTTTAGAAATAAAAGAAAAACAACGTCCATATTAACCGTTTTCTTATTTTCTTATGAAATATTTAATCATAATTAATTTTTTTTATCCAAAATATAGAATAATTATTATCGATAGGGAATAGTTATGTTCAAGGCTAATTCACTAATAGCGTGGTGTGGGTTACTTATACTCACATAAGTAGCATAGAACGGTGGTCAGGCATAGAATGTATTTCAGTAGAAGGTCGAGAAGGAAAGAATGGAAATGGAACGCGGTTGGTATGAAAATGCATGAACAAGGAAATCTGAGACAATGGACTGATATTCGCATAAGGAACAGTCAAGTTTGAGACGATGGATTGATATTTTGTAAATTAACTATTTACTATATGAATCTCAGATTTTAGTGAGTTGCTCTGTAATTTCGTGTCAAATACATTCGGTTCTCCCCACTCGTGTTTTTGTTCACTATAATAGTTTTATTTTAGGTGTTATAATATTTATTTGCATAGTTTGTGATAACAATTTATGACAAAAATAACTTAAGTGAGAAATAGTCAAGTGAGTTTTTTTGGCTTACCGTTGATGGTACAGAAGATTTTTGAACCAGTTCATCATTTTTATACTTGTTTTTTTTGATAAAGCACATTATCAAACGGTAAGTATGATAATTTAGCACGATATGTTGGTTTCTCTAGTTGGCAAAAAAAGATATTATACATTTATAAGTATATAGATTATCGGTTGATTTTATTATTCAAATTTAATGATATTTTAGTAGGACATAAATAAAAAGAATGGTGAAACGTTCTTTGCATAGATTTACAATCTGATCGAATGTTAACAACGTTTTGTCGAATAAAGTACAACTTGACTATTTAGATGCCATCGGAGTAAATTGTCGTTCGCTAAGTAAAGTCGAGTTGTCCTTCATGAATTCATAGATAGAATGTTTTATGACTTCTACATTGAACACGGTTTGCCTGGGACTGTTTTCTACTCGGTCACTGGACTAGCGTTGTTTCGCTTTTGAGAGTACGCACTATACACGGACCTAGTTCATAAGGATGTGAGGTCAATACTTAAAACAATAACACAAGGTAAAATATGAATTTTTTACGATTTAATGTGTACTATTTAAACTGGATTTCAATTATAATATCTCCTAGACTACAGCAAGACAGTACTAGTCCTACGAATATGTTTTCTTCATCTATTAAAGTTTCATTTCAACCTAATCTTTTCGTAGCTTAAATCATAAAAATTATATAACTTTAACACCAACTCCAAAATTGAAATATCCAGAATGAGTGAAACGCTCAACAAAGTAAAATCTTCAACTTTCTGTAGTCAAATTTCAAGTGAATACGTGACCCTCTTTGAGCGTCATTACGGAAAGAAATTCTGTCGTTGATTGACTTGTTTAAAAATTCCAAACGTCTTGTTCTTTTTACATATTAACATAAGTTTAGTTCGCTTCCTTAAAACTATCATTATCATCATCAGTTGAATGGATAGTCAGTCTGAAGTTTAGAAACGATAGTATTTTCTTCTGAAACCTTCCTCTTTCATTTTGATTATTATAAGATCTAGTAGACTTTATAGATTGAAAACTTTCAATGAACTTCGCTTTATCACGAGCAGAAGACAAATATCATGAAATGCACTAACATCCTTTTCTGTAGAAATTACCAAGTCTTACTGCTTTGTTAGAGTGGGGCATAAAAATGGGCAACTAAATATTTTGACATAGTCTATGTCAACAGAGTGAAGACTGAGTCCTTACGAAGTCTATTAGATCTAAAATATTTTCGGTTTTGCACATTGTAAAAACAGGCTTGAGACCAGTTAAATCCGAATCTCACTAAAAACGTAGTACCTAGTTTTTTCAAATGTTTTACATGCAGCTTTTTTAGTGCTTCGCTTTTTTAGATAAATGTCTTTCGGTCACGTTTATAATTGAAATAACTGGAGACTCGAATAGGATGATGTTATTTTGACTGGATGTCACATTGAACTAAATGCAGTCATATATTATTATATTCCCTTGACGTCTGAAGGGTATAACATAATTCGTTTGTTTAAAAGATCAACAAGGAACGGTTTTGCTTCATATGGTAAAGGAAACTAAACGCTTACTCATAAGGTAGTAACATGCATAAAGTAGAAATCTTTTTTCACCCATCCAACGAAATCGTTCACTTTTGTAGTCCAAATCAGCGACGAAACCCCATTCAATGCTTTGAATACCGTATCGATGAAAATTTCTGTCACATGTTCCAAAGTGTATACCACTCATCGGACTGATACACGGTAAAAGTGGTAAAGTAAAATTGTAATTTTCACTTTGCTCATTAACTTGTTTAGATTGACTATTTTGTAAATTTTCAATTGGTAATGTTAACAGAAAGCCACAGTGTGATAAAAGTGATGATTTGCCCAGTAAACTAAATAAAGGAAAACATAAGGTTTGCAATAAATATTTATTACCAATATTAAATGATGATATTTTCCGTTAGGGGACTGATCTATGCATAATTTGATAATTGCAACGTTTACATGTGACTTTCACTGCAAACTAACATTAACTTAAGAAACTTCTTTAGTTATTAGTCTTGTCCACATTTAGGACTTTTCGACAGACCAAAGATACGTTATTCAGTAGGAGTAAACCTGTAACTTTCAAGCCTCGTCTAGTGTATTGTATCAATATGGATGAATTTCGATGGTTCCTCAACAAGTGTCATTTAGTGAAAAAATTTATAAATATATAACATCTCTGTGCAGCAACGTTTGACGTTTTTTATTGGTAATTGACGGTAGGTCTTTATAAGAATCAAGTGAACCAAAGACTTCTAAAAAAATAGTTGAATACTAGTTTGTAACTCGTTTAATCACAATTGTCACCACTTGAAAAGTAGACCAAACTAGCTCTTAATTAATACGAAAAGAACTTGTTTCAAAAATTATTTCAACTTATGTTTGTTACCACAATCCAATACACAGTCACTATCTTTTTGTCTACGTGAGTGAAGTGAACATTTGAATAATAAATTATAGGGGAAATTCTTTTTGAATAGGAATGTCAGTAATGATAAACGCAGTGATCTTCTGATTTATTAACTGTCCCCTTGCCTATCAAATTTCAAAAATCACAAAAAGGCTTTTAATCATTAAATGTGTGTATTAGTGAAACAAAGACTCACAGGAGTCTCAGTGATAAAAATTCAATACCGCTTTAAAAGCCACTATAATTACAAATCATTTTCGCCTTTTATCGATTTGCCCTTTTTTGTGACCACAGACTGAGAATGGATTCGGGTATAAGAAATGACTATCATTTATTCGTTAAATGAAGAAACCATCAGCCAAGCAAATGCATGGACTGATCATGATATTTTATGGTCATTAGTTATTACGTAATACAAACTAGTCAGTCAACTTAACAAAACTTTATCACATAGACTGGTGCATAAATGACTAAATTGTAATGTTATATTTATGTTCGGTTTATGTTAACTAATTTAACAAACACATTTGTTTATGAAATACATTACTAAGTAACTGGATATACATCTGGGTTAATTCATCTCCTTTATAGTTTGTGCACAGTTATGTTCTGCTGTGCTTCAAAACAAAAACCTATTCTAATAAATAGCATATCTAACTTGTTTGCATTGTTAAATATTTAATTACCCAGAATGATAACAAATTGAAGCAGCAGTTGAATTAGCACTACCTCCTGGTAGAATCCCAACAGGTATTGTATCCTCATCAATGGCGTCATCATAATTTTTTCTTGATATGAATCCGTTAATTACTTCATACACTAGTCCATCACCTGAACACGTAACTATTGCTCGATAACGTAAAAGACTAGCTTTGGTAAATTTCTGATAAAATTTTCTGCATGGCCCGGATATTCTAAATAGCAGAAATATGGCATCAAAATTGATATTTGAATACATGAATGCATAAATAAATTATTTATGGTTAATATGAAAGGTATATAAGTTAAACATTTAGGAATGCATTACCGTGTAAACTCTTCTCGGGCATAATTCAGCGTAATAAAGAAGATACACATATAATACTGAGTTTATGTTTATGTTATTATAAAGTATGGAAGGACGTATTGTCTGGTGGTTTATCATTATGTTGGTAGATTTCTGACTACTGAGCAATTAGTGTCATCCTTATTTATTCCTTTACGCTAAATAAATTTAATCGATGACGAGTGATACAACCTAAGTCCAGAGCTTCTTTCATTTGTTTCTAATCACGTAACACCTGTTTATCATCTTTCTGTTAGCAGGTTTTGTTCTGATCAATAGAAAGTTAACATTACGGCGTTTAATATTTCTTAAACGTATGCAAACGGAATAATAAAATGTCATCGTTATTTGCCTCAATTAATATAATGTAGGTTCCCAGTAGTCTGGATATCTCTATCCAATAAGATCACCTATTGTGCTGCCTAGATCAACTAACTATCTGTAAATTTGACTTTTTTACTCGTGATTGTCATTTTTTGTCATTTATTCATTTACTTATTCTTTGATTATAAATTGCTTAATATTCTTCATTATACACTTTGAGTGTTTTTATTTACTTTCATATTTATTTTAGTAACAATACAACTTTACTGTAATATATCACTAGTATGATATAGATTGTGTCTAGTCGACAAAATGAGCTAAATTTATGCTGTAGAATGTTGGAATATTTGTTTATCTTGCTTCTATATCTTTGAAGAGTATCCACCATTTTAGTGCTCTGCAAGTTTTAATTCTAAAATCTAGAACTTTTAAGTACTTCATCAACTTTACAATCAGAAAATATGGGGTAGAAATGAGTTTGGGGGTATCATTAACAACGATTGACATGAAAATTTCAAATAAATTGAGCATTGTGTAGGTTGTTATAAATAAAATAATATATTTGTAATATTGCAATGAGTGGAAAAATTAGGTTTTTTGACGTTTCGTGACTCAGTGTAAGCCACTTCTTCAGAGAACAAATAACCGAATCAAAATCAACCCAAGTTTAAATAGTACAAAGGAACAAAGCAAGAATATTAGGTACGATCAATCAAAGAACAGGTTTGAGGAAGTTATTGGCATATCATTTCGGTCAAGGTGGATTTCAAGCGACATGTATGTAAACTTGTGTTTGTGCATGTGTGTAGGGCCAGGGATAAAAAAATGTAACCTTTGTAGTGTGAAATGTGAATAATATCAGACATGGTAACTTGGATAGATAGTTCAGGTCGGATGGATATCGAAGCCTTCTTTTCTACTGAGAGCAGTAAGATTAAGTATCATATGGAAAGCTTCAGCATTCTCCCTTCTTTGTAGTCGGAAAAGCCTTTTTGTAATATTTTGATGTTTTTGATACCGCTTTGGTGGTTGTTGAAAATGATGAGAACTGCTATTGTCGACTCAATTTGGAGTTTATCCAATTCTACGGGATTATTAGGTGGTTTTTTGTGTACCTAAGATGTTCTTTGGCTCGAGTCAAGATTTCGCGAGATGACTCTCTGATATAGAAGGTATCACAATCAACAGACAGTTCTGTGTTGACATAAAGGGGATTTTTTATTTCAAGCGAACTAATGTGTTTTGAAGTGTGTTCGTTTTTTCGTAATATATTTTAATTGTGTGTGGTTTTAGGATTCTTTGTAGTCCTTCTGTTGTACCATGGCGTTATCGTTAAACCGCAGTACCAGTCCATGATATTTCATACAAATCATTAATTAGCAGTGAAATATCGTGCTTTATTACGCTTTTAATAATCTTCATGGGAAAATTATTAAATTGTAAGGTTTTAATTACATGTTTTTGCTCTTTTTGTTTGTCTTCTTCAAATGTGATAATCTTGTTAGTTCTTCTAAAGAGCTTGAACTTGAACTGTCTATCCAAGTTACTATTTCTGATACTATTCACATTTCCCGCTATTATCGTAAAGACAAATTAAACTCTATCCTTTCTTATTACAAAGGTTACAATTTTTCATTCATGACCTTGTATAGGTACTTACTTCCTCACTTACTTATGCCTATTACTCCCAATGGATCAATGGCCGCCGACCAGCATTCTCCAACCCATTCTGTCCTGAGCCCTCCTTTCTCGTTCGATCCAGTTTCTCTTCATTCTTTTCATGTCTGTCTTCCTCTTTCCCTTTGGCCTTCAGGATTCCATGTGAGGGCTTGTCTTGTGACGCAGTTGGGTGATTTCTTTAATGCGTGTCCTATCCACTTCCAGCGGTTCTTCCTGATTTCTTCCTCCGCTGGGATCTGGTTTGTTCTCTATCACAGTACGTTGTTGTTAATAGTGTCTGGCCAACGGATCTGAAGTATTTTGCGTAGACAACTGTTAATAAGCACTTGTATCTTCTGGATGATGGCTTTGTAGTTCTCCGAATTTCCACCCCATACAGTAGAACTGTCTTGACATTTGTATTGAAAATCCTGACCTTAGTGTTGGGTGACAGTTGTTTTGAGTTTTAGATGTTCTTCAGTTGTAGATATGATGCTCTTGCCTTGCTGATCCTCACCTTCATACCTGCATCATATCCATCGTGTTCATCAATGATGCTGCCCAGAAATGTAAAGGCCTTTACATCTTCCAAATCTTCTCTGTTAATTGTGATTGGATTGGTGCATGCTGTGTTGTATCGGAGAGTCTTGCCTTTCCCTTTGTGTATATTGAGACCTACTGCTGCTGAGGCTGCTGCTTTACTGGTCGTCTTCCCCTGCATTTGTTGTTGCGTGTGCTATAGAAGAGCCAGATCATCTACGAAGTCTAGATCGTCCAACTGCATCCTAGATGTCCATTGTATCCCGTGCTTCCCTTCAGATGTTGACGTCTTCATGATCCAGTCGATCACCAGTAGAAGGAGAAATGGTGAGAGTAAGCAACCCTTACTGACACCGCTATCTACCTTGAACGAGTCCGTCAATTGTCCTCCATGCACAATTTCGCAGTTTAATCCACCATAGGAATTCTGTATGATATTGACTATCTTCTGAGGCACGCCCTAGTATCGAAGAAGTTTCCATAGTGTTGTTGTGTCCACGCTATCAAATGCTTTTTCGTAGTCAATGAAGTGAATGTAGGGTGATGAACTCTATTCAATTGATTGTTCCACAATGATCCGTAGAGTTGCGATTTGGTCTTTACACGATCTGTCTTTACGGAATCCTTACTGTTGGTGTCGAAGTTGGGCATCTACGTAGTCATTTGTCCACCATACACACATGCACAAACACAAGTTTACATACATGTCGTTTGAAATCCACCTTGACCGAAATGATATGCCAATAACTTCCTCAAACCTGTTCTTTGATTGATCGTACCTAATATTCTTGCTTTGTTCCTTTGTACTATTTAAACTTGGGTTGATTTTGATTCGGTTATTTGTTCTCTGAAGAAGTGGCTTACACTGAGTCACGAAACGTCAAAAACCTAATTTTTCTACTCATTGCAATATTACAAATATATTATTTTTATTTATGGGTTAGAAAGTAAGTTAAAAAGGTCTTCATGTATGATTAACCTGACATCTCAATTGTACGTCGGAATGGGAGTTAATCATATATATAAGATTAGTTATTGTAACAAAAATACTTATTTTTACATACAACATTTAATCTAGATATTTTTGCTTAAATTGACACTATTTATTTTTGTTTTTACTTAATCGACAAATTCATTTATTATTAGAATCATCTGACTATAGTCTTAATTTCCAAGTAAACGGTGAACTAAGTGAGAAATCATTTTTAAATGATTAATCTATCTTAATACAATAAACACTTAGTATTGATAGTTTTATAGACGAATATCGAAATACATGTTACCATTATGAGTTGTAGAAATAGTATTTTTAGGCTTAATTATGTAAAGTTAGATAAAAAAAGAAAAGTATAGACTCAGTATGCGGGGTAGATAAGTAAGCAAAAAAATGTTCAATTTTGAAAAGTACGAATTTCAGACCACATATAGTGAAAACCTGATAAATGGTGTGAATAAGTCAAAATATGGATAGAGCAAGAAAAATATACGTTAAAAGATAATAAACAGTTAGATAAGCTGTTTAAGGTTGTTCAAATGATCTCATTCAACAAGTTTGTAATCATTCTAAGTTATGTTTAAAAACTTCATCTACATATAGCAGTTCCAACCTCTAATGGTCGTGGTTCAGATAACATAAATACCAATTTATTAAAAATTGCATCTGTCTATACTTTTTTTTACTCTATTAAACAAAAAAAATGATTTCACTAGGATATCATGTAGTTTAACGTAATTAAATGAAACATTATTTTTTACATTTTACGTTGAAAATATCATTGAAATATTGAAATAACTTTGATATGATAACGACTTATTTTGGAAAATGAATGAAAGTAAAGATAGTCAGTTGGTTAAAGAACAATTAGTATTATTCTATCTGTTATATACAATGACTTCTTTTTATGTCTTTTTATTAACTCATTTTTACTTAGTTGATGGAATAATTCTATCAGTATGATTCAAGAGGATTTTAATAATTGATGGAAAGTCATTTTAAATGGCACTAACAGTATAGTTGTAATGTGGGTTCTTGAAACATACTTGTGTTTCAGTAGATGCTTTTATCATTTAACTTTTTTATCCCCTATTACGTGACACTTTATTAGTCATAATTCTGAAAAAATTAGTTATTTGTTAAACTACATTGAACTTGAAACTTAGACTAATATAAGTGATTTTACTGATGAGACAAAACAAATAAAAAACCAGAATAACTTTATAATGAAACAACTTAGGCATATTGGATTAAATATGCTAACATTGATCGAACAGTTAACCCTGATATCATCACGTAATCAATCAATTTACGGTCAAAATCAGGGCTAGCCGTAAAACTAAAGGTCCTGGGTTAGATCTGCGGTGGGATTATAGATATTCACTGTTGATGGGTCCTGTACTCTGACGAAACACCTGTCCAGTGCTTCATGCTATTCAGAGGTTATTTAAATAAGATCAGTTCGTGATGCCAACCATAAAATCTTAAAATAAATTATAGTCCATTAAATAATTACACTCGTATCGCGGAATAGTGCAATCAGAGACGTTACCTCTGGGTTTTTTATAGGACTGAGATATTTGCAATAATCAGTCATTGAATGGTTCCCTGCGTCATTTTCTCCACTTTGTAGTGCTGTAGCACTAAGTGATTCTGGTTTGATTCTCAGCGGAAGTATCAGTCCATTTAAGGTTCAGAATACAGCCTGATAACGAGTTTCGAGAATCAGGAAATAGGGTCCAAGGAATTCTTATGGGTTAACATTTATTTCGTCAGAAATTCATAAATTACATACATTCCTCCCTCACCGTACTAATATTGAGATATCCAGTGGTTTAATAGTAGTTCAGGCTAGAATGGTGCTTAAAAGTCTCTGACCATATTTACGTTGACGTGCATTAAAAAAATTCATATCCATTTGTTGATTAATCACCGCACAGAAATTGCCAAAGTGTTGTAACACAATTCAACTATGTGATTTCTAAATGTAGCTTGGGATTTGGTTCAAATTATCTTTAGGAGTCTATATATATGAGCTTTTAGTTTACTAGTATTAGTCAATAAAAAATAGATCTGACTCTGCTGAGATGCACTATATTTCAAAGTTTTAATATAAGCTGACTATTAAATTTCAACTGGAGGTTCAGGTCAGTTAAGGTCAGTCTACTATTTGAATAACTTCATATTAATAAGCATATGGAATTCTAATTTCAAATGAATAGTTAATTCTAACTGTTCGATTGATAAGTCTCTTGGATAATATAATTGATTTGAAATTTAAAGCTTTTCAAAGAAATATTTGATTTTCTTAGTATCAAAACTATGGTTGTAATTTTGTGACATCCTATATCTTGGCATCACGTTTTTGTTAAACTATCATACAAATTATTCTATTGACTTAATTTAGTATTAGTATTAGTAATTACTGAAAATACTAATTTATTGCACATGAGTCTGGTCATGTATTTTTACATTAATATGAAACATTCATTTTGCATTTTCAGAATTTAATTTCTGATAATCGGTTTTCACTTAGTTATAACTAATTCTTCTGTCATTTAACATATAGTGAAGTACTATCAAATGATTTTGTGAACTCTCTTCATAAAAAGCGTCTAAAATATTATAGAGTATTTTGAACGTTTTGTTTATTACGATATAATAGATTTATCAATTGAAAAATCTAAAATGAGGTAGTTAAATTAATTACCTGTACAAAATAATTCATATGGAACATTCATTTGTTTCCAAATGGGGGAAATTTTGAAGTTAAAACCATTTAGAGCATTCCCTGATCCACTTTTAGGATTTATTAAGACTAAATAAGGTTTAGCTAAATTGATGAATAAGAGAATTAAAATAGACTTTTATTAAAATTTCGTTAGAATGCAATTTCATGGAAAATTATGCGAATTTAAACAAACCCAAGTATTTAATTATAAAATAGAATGTGTTGAAAACATAATATAAGAACTATCTATTATCATCATCTACTGTGAATAAACTTGACATATGTAAATATAAAGCATGATTTGTTTTGTATTTCCGAAAATGATCACTTGCGCGCTTTAAACAAGTCTATGATCGAGAGTTTTAAATGTCTGTTTAGTGCAAATAAATAAAAGTAGTCTATGTTCTTGTTATAAACATAAGATGTTAGAAATTCAATCAACTAGTTTAATTAAGTCGAGCATTTTAAACGGTAGTGTAAAGAATGAGGCCACAAATGCTGACCATTGTAAGTCATCTTAATTATCAGGTTATTTAGTTTTAACATATCTTTTTATATCTACATGTCTGTATGGATTACTTTCATCTGGGCACGGATGCAGAGCCACAGCACAAGATAATTGATTAACACAGAAAAAACTTTTGCAAAAGATGCACTCAAGTTGTTTAATATCAACGGACAAATACTGAACTCATTTACCGTCGTTTGCGTGGGCACTTTTGAAGAAAAATTCAATTGCTTTCATGCATTCGGAAGCTTTTGATCAGATGAGAAAAGTATGTTAAGACTTGTTCCTTCAAGGATTTGTAATTTTTTTTTCTTTTCGTACACCTAAAAAATCAACCATTTAAATGACTTTTTACCTTTCTTGTTTTAAAATAACTTATTTTTAGGCCTGTATTTTGCTTTTTCTTATTTCTTAATATGATTTCTTTCTTGCATTCAATTACTAGGTTCTTGTGAATATGCATTTTGTTGGGGAAAGAAGAGTGACCTGGTACAAAAAATATTCCAAGTTCGTTTAAACAAAGCATGCACTGAATTCGACGAGGAACCAGTAGAATGCAGACATCGTAAGTTGTGCAAACATTTGGCTGCATTTCTGTAAAATGAACCCAATAGATTTTTGTATGATGCGAATTGGTTTATAAACAAAATAAAAATTATAGCACCAAAATAACGTCGGATATCGTTCAGACAGATAGAATTACCACTCTTGTTGTTACGTAAATGTGGCGGTTAATTATGAATGTTTTTGACATGGTATCTAAATATCAGTGTATATGATAGTTACATTTCCTAGCTTACACTTTTTACTGTACTTATTACCTGCTCCACATCATTATGGCAGACTGAATACTTAAGGCTTATTATTTTGTTAAGGATAGAAAAACTATCTGTTCAGACGGTGTTCTATGGAAGATTAGTGAAAGATGGACATCAGCCAAGACTTTCCTGATGAATCTCTTGAAAGAACTTTGACTAATGGTAAATAAATTTCGTTGCTACAGTCAGTCAAGGCCTATGGTAGCAAATACATTCTTAAAATAAATAGTTCTGTAATTATTTGACATTGATGCTGACCCAATTAGTTTTACTGAACATATCACAGCTGAAGGCGCTTGGTCGCGCACTTGCAACAGATCACGAGGGGGTACTTTGAGCTACACATCCTTCACAAATACTATCTAGCTTAAACCAAACACTTCTCGACATTTCATTAGCTTTCTAAGAATGTCTATGAACACTTTCATTTCTAACTTCTGGTATCCTTCAATTAAAAAGGTGTTACATATGGAGGTGTTGACAAGCTCCAAATGCCTGTTGTACCTTTAGACCTAACTTTGAATTACAGGAGTCGTTATTAGGAATACTGAATGACTTATCGTCCAAAAATTACAATAAATATATCCTAAACAAACAACCTGACGTTTAGACTTTACATTACACTTCAACACGTTTGACAAATGCTTTGTAACCGTGGGAAAAATTAATGAACAAAACGGTAGATAAATGCAGTCAGGTTAAAATACATAATGTGCCTAAATACCATCGTGGTGTATAAACAACGGTAACTTTAAAGAAGAGGACCAACATCTTTGAGAAGTAGGAGAATCATCATTATTGAAATGCAAAATGGGAACGGGATTAAGTTAATCTGAATAACAAGTACACCTGTCGCAGGGTATTGACTAAGACAAAAGAAAAGTTTGAGACTTGAGGGCTTTGTTTCATCTGTATAAGATTTTGAATGTTGAGAACAGTGTTATGGTGTCGCTTGATATGAACATATCAGTATTAGCCTTTTTTAAGCAACTGTCGGTACAAATCACACACAGGAAATGTCAAATCGAAACCTATTGAGCAAAAGATAGAGACAATCTGCGAGATCTTAATATATCAATTAGGCATTTCCTCATACAAAGTTGATTCATATCGTTCATTTTAGGACTATTAACTGACGAACACATTCAACGTTTCGAATAAGTAAAGAAGTGTTTCTACGTTTTATTTGTTTACTTACATTATTTGATTCTGCTAGCGCCTCTAAGATATCTTTTGCGTTTTAGCCAAAATTACTGCTGCAATTAAATTTCATGTTTGTGAGTTCAGTAATGCCTGACATTATGTCGAAACTTCTATGTACTAGGAATCAGTGCATAACATCAGCATTTGTATGTTTGTTTGAGTGAAACGTAATGTAAAATGTTCTCCATTTCAAGTCTAATACTGCATTAGTACGTCGTAACTAGATTGTTAGGGAAGCTATTTCGTCGAAAGGACAGTGCGTCAATATGGGTCAACCCATATTTCTTTCTGCAGATCAAACGTTGTTCCCCATTGTAAGCGGTTAGGCATCTTAAATTCAGCTACGAATAGTCAGGAATCGTGTTGATTGTTTTGGGAAATATATCTGTTTCTAGTCCCAGCAACACATTAAACGCACTCTAGCAAAAATAGAGGAGAAATTTCTGGTTTCCATATTCAGCATATTTTGTATGTGCGCTTCAAGCTTGAAGTGACTATGAATTATTCCTTAAATCTCTACTATATATAAATATCCTAACCTCCCTATATAGGGGAAAAATTTTTCCGGCTCGAGTGAGTGGCACAACAACCTCAAAACTTCCTTAGTTCTGGGGAAAGCTATTATAGCTCTTACAACTTTGGGGAGAATCTTAAAATTTCTCCAAGATAATGAAATTGGGGTATATATATATATATATATATAGAGAGAGAGAGAGAGAGAGATAAAACACCCTTTCATAACAGTGATCACAAAATAAAAATTGCATTTGGAACTACATACTACATTTTTTGATTACACTAAAAAAACTCCAGTCTCTTGTGATTACAAAAGAATGGAGTTTTAGTAACTCATTAACTAAACATATTTAAAATCAACTTTATTCATTACCGGTTGGTTTAGTGATCAAGACACTCCAGAAAATTCTGAGGTCTCATCAAATACAAACTCTTTGTGGTATGCAGGAGTTTTTATGGAAGACTTCAAGACTCATAGAAAAACAGCAATGAACTCAGAAACTTAGATCAAACTTCAAAGACGACAGCAAAAGAGTTCATACAACTGAATCGTTATAACAAATATGTCAATTCAATACTTACTCTTCAGTAGTAAGAACAGTGGGTTAGTGAAACCGTGCCAGTCCTTGCGAATCATTCTCTACTGGAAACTTAGCTTATTCTTGTACGCACTCACTGATGGGGCTGATGCCACTCGTTTAGGTACGATATTCCATTCTCTGACCAATTCATGAGAAAAACGGGGTCCTTACTCTTACTTTCTAGAACCCTCTTACTGTAGCCCCAGAGATGAATGGACATGAAGCAGGCGAAAAGGCAAGTGACTTCGCATGCTACGACATGCGAAATAGGTTTAAACCTTTTTAGCTCTTATCGTAGGGTGAGTTGGAAAGACCTGTCAAGAAGTTCGCTCAACACTCGAGTCCAGGGTTTCCTGTTGACTACCCCCGACCACCATCTTATCTCAACATAGTGCACACAATGTCGAGTCACCTAGACTAGTCGCCACATTGCAAATTAGTCGTTAACGTTCGATCTGCACTAAGAACGACCTGACACACGTGACATTGATCATTACCCAGTGATCAGTCAATTCTGAATTTTTCAGTGTAATATGATCTTTAGTAAGTCGTAGACTGGCTGCTCGAATATAATACTCTACGTGACTTTTCACATAGGTTCACCAGTGGTACGGTAATAGAAAGTGAAGTTGACAATACCCATTGATTAGTGCTCACCGAAATAGTTTGATACATTCTCGACTTTGGTGAAATCTGATTTGTACGGTGCATCCGGATTTTCGTGCCACAATAATGATGGGATCCGCTCACTACGTTTCTTCATCGTTCAGTGTACAAAGATGATCTTTTGGGCTTGAGATTGCGATCATTTGCTAACTGTATTTCGTAAATGACGCGGCACCTGGCTATGTTCTTCTTAGGTACACTCTGGGCTTTTCGGTATTCGTGTCTCATTAATGAGAACAAATCCCAATAATGTTTCCTATGCCGCGGCAGCTATCAACCTTCCGAATCAATTGTTGGAGAGCAGTGTGTTCACCATGAAGTGAACGACATAGCTGCTCTCTAATGTGGCTTTAAGCCTATCCAGTTCGTCTTCGACCGATCTGTCTTCATTGATCGACCAGTCTGTTGAGTTAGCACAGTTTGTGATTACCAGAAAGTTAGCCCATCAGATATTTGGACGGGGTGGAGCTGATGCATACTGTACGTCGTGTCCAAAACCTAACGTACAGAACATTGTGATAATTGTTTACTAGTGAGCGGAGGTATTAAATATCGATGACATCATCACAGTGGTGTGTTACGACAAGATCTAGGAATGATAGTTCATATAATACGAGCCAACTCGTGTTGGTTTTCTGATACATTGCATAAGTGCACAGTGGATAATGGTTGATAGCGGGCAATCAACAAAATATACACCTGAAGTTGTAACCTCTGTCTGATCAATTCGCAGGGTGTTGAAATATCCAACGGTAAGTCGACAGTAAGCTTTACACTAAGTAATGAGTTAACTTAAGGATAAAGTCGTCAGCACGTTACTGTGGATTGTGGTATATTACTCCTACGGTCACTAACCTATGTCTGGATTTAATAGTTCGACAAGCTACCTGACAATCATTATCATGCCCCTCTGGTGCGTTCGATTGCATATGAAAGTAATCTCTAACATACAATATTACGCCTTATCTCCAGTGATCTTTAACTCTATTACCTCTAATGCAGATGTATTCTGCAGTGATTGGAGTGAGTCGCGTTTCTGTGAAAATAACTGCATCTGGACTTAATTCATCCCTCATGAAGGTTAGCTCGAACGTTTTATACTTAAGACTACTAATGTTTTGTTGAGCGAACTAAAGGTGTCTTGTGGATCACCAATTCTATCCATACAGGCCTCGAAAACATTGGACTCGAAGGCCTGACTGCCCGAAAACCTGAATTTAGTGTTTTTTTCTGCCACTTTGCTTCCAGGTTGTTAACTCAGTAAGCGCATTCTATCACTTCACTGGATCCTCAAGTAAGCAATGTGGTCGGACGCGAATATTTGAATTGCTGGTTTTATATGTCTTGTTTGTTTTGGAGTCCCTACTCTCGCTACTTCTGAGTCCTAACTTCAAGATATTCTTTTTCTGAATCTTGCATTCGACGAACTTACTGGGTTTTATTATCTCAGTAA